AAAAAAAAAAAAAAAATTATTTGATACAAGGTCTCGCTATACAGCTTGGACTCAGATCCTCCTGTCTCAGCCTCCCTGGTGCTGAGATTACAGGCAGGTACAACCACACCCAGTTTCTAGAAGAATGCCACCACACCTGGTTTTGGTGGCTGACTCAGAGTGGCCAGGGTTCCAGGGATTGAACCCAGGTCCTTGTGTTTGCCAGGCAGGTGATTAGACCACTGAACAATCTCCCTAGCCCCAGATGCCACATTTAAAATGCAATTATGACCCAGCATGGTTGCACACATCTATGATTCCAGCACCCTGGGAGGCTGAGGCAGGAGAATCACAAGTTCTAGCTCAGCCTGAGTGTTTAACAGTTTATAGTAAGACCCTCTCTCAAAATAGAAAATAAAAAGGGCTGAGGATGCAGCTCAGTGATGAGGGTGATAAGGCCTGCCATTCAGTTCCCAGTACTAGGGGCTAGGGGTGGGGGAGAAAGAAATAAAGAAAACAAGAAGGAGCAGAAAAATACATGTACATTTGTTGTATAACCCCAGAGTTCCCCAGAGGACACAGCCTAATTTATCATATCCAAGTCTGGCTGAGTTCTTTCTCAAAAACTTTATTTTTAATTTTACGTATTTCGTACAGGGCCTTACTACACAGCTCGGACTTGTAGTGGGCCTCCTGTTTTTAGCCTCCCCAGCATTGGGATGACAGGCATGCACCACCATGCCCAGTCCTTGTGGCCGGCTCAGTGTACCCGGGGTGAGGCTGGCATGGCCTGTGGAACTGGGGATCGAACACTGGGCCCTGCACTTGCCAGGCAGGTGCTTAGACTGCTGCGCTATCTCCACAGCCCCTCTCAAAAACTTTAGAACTAGGGATTGTGGAACCCTCCCTCAAGGAAATAAAGCCCTGTCGGGTGAGGCAGTTATTTCTTGCCACATCTTGAGATGGAAATCAATAGATTTAAGTTACTTTACCACTTAAGTAACTTTAAGTGATGCATGCCTGTAATCCCAGCACTCAGGAGGCTGAGGCAGGAGAATTGCCTCTAGATCAAGACCAATGTGGGCTACATAGCAGAGACTCCTCAAAAAATCAATCAATCAGTCAATCAATCAATCAATCAATCAAACAAACAGATGCAAAAAAGAAAACAATCCAGCCAGGGCTGAAGAAGGAGCAGAGGTCTTAAAGCTGTTTTACTGGAAATGAAGTGTTGTGTTTTCTTCTCTGCTTTTCTTTGTTGCCTCGAGGTTATAAAAAGACGTTTCTTGGTCAAAACAACCCTCTCTTTGTCCAATCCTGATCCTGCATCTCTTTGAACACCAGGAATCTGGAAAGTGCGGCAGGGAGG